AATATGCCCAACATCAAAATTCGACAAGGGAGATCATGAAGTCGCCGTGAAGGACAAATTCATTGGATTTTATTATTTCTTATTTCACAAAACTTAGTAATTTTTATGATTTTTTGGATGATTTGTCATTTGACTATCACGTCTATATGGAGCTAAACTTTACGTTATGGTTTTGTTTCTTTCATGACTATTGTTATTTGAATATTGATTTTGATTTCTTGATTTATCATATTAGTTTATTTATTTAATAAACTTAATTATTTAATTGTCTGACCACCAATTGAATATTATCTACGAATTTAGAGTTGCACACAAGAGAGAGAATTCTAGATCGCATGTAGGATTGAGTAGAGCTTGTTTTTGAACTCAGGGAGTGGGAAAACATTTCTCGGTTAGGATAGGAATATATCTAACAATCTTGCTTAGTTGAATGTTTATCTTATTCGTTCATGAAAAACTTAATACTATAGGAATATAATACTGAATAGGCGAATAGTATTGTGGGAACATGGTATTCATATAAACGATCCGGTCAACTAGTAAACTAGATAAATTAAGAAGTTGAATCAGTTGAAGAATACAATAGGATTGTTAGACAACATATAACCCTAGATCATTTTCATCTAATTGATAACATAAAAATCTGCTTTTCTTTAGTTTAGAATTCATTAGTTGCTTTATTTTTATTTTAATTAGTTTAGGATCAAACACTTTGGGTTTAATCATGTTTAGATAATTAGAATAGTCTAATTTAGTTAACACTTCATCAAAGTCTCCATGAGTTCGAAATTTGACTTTATTTGGGAGACCAACAACTACACGTGGCTAAATTCATGAATATATCCGGATAAGGTATAGGGTAGATCTATAGGCAGTGGCGGATCTAGAGTGTTGTTACTGGGTTCGGGAACCCAATAACTTTTGCATAAACGATGTATTTCTATTAAGAAATCCACTAAATATTTATAAATATCTAATTATGAATCAAGTTATTATTGTATATTAATTTGAAATTAGGAACCCATAAATTTCGAATCTGCGTATAAGGTTCCTAAATACCTGGGATTCAGCATTAACTCGATAATTACATTATCAAGAAATAACTCTGACGGCTACAAATCTTCTAGACCTTACTGAAGGGCTGAATAATTGCTCATTAAAGAGGAGTAACTCGGGGAAACAATCTCTAGTTTATCTAGTTTATCTATTATGTGTAATAATACAATCTCTTTAGCAACTACTACTTCTAGTACTAGTACTGTTTCCCATGTGGGAGAACAAGCAACAAGCTCTAGTTTTGTACAACAGATGCCTTGTATGCATCCACTAAACAAATACGCTGTACTTGTTTAGCATGTTATAATATAGTCTATCTTTCTAACCAAAAAAAAAAAAAACTCGGGGAAACGGCTGCACGACAGCATCAAGTCGAATTCTAATTTACACACACTGGAATCTTAGAAAAATTTCTCTGGCTTGCTTAGGTTGAGTTCATCAATTAGTTCAACACTACCATCCGATCGGAGATTACTCAAAAAGATTCATTTCAATTTGTTCTTATTTCACATTATATTTACTGTTATTTTGTTCTTATTTCTTTTATTTGACTACCCAAAGCAACGTTATTGGATTGAATCGATTGTTGGAGGTCTACTTTTTATAAATTTAATTGGTTAATCCTAAGAGTTTAATTAATCTGGCGCCTATTGTGAGGGCTTAGCAATTAATTTTCTGTTTATGGTAACGTTATTGTTACTTGCTCGATTATTGTGATCGTCACTTGTTTGTAGGGGCGGTAAAAGGGCGGGTCAGGTCGGATATAGGCGGGTCAAATATGGGTAATGCAATAAATAAATAAATTATCCGACTCGACCCATATTTAATACATATAAAAACGGGTTACAGATAGATAATATGGATATCCATATTATCCATGACTTCTTGAATATGATTACTTTTGGGAGAATTTCCAGTCTCCCAAACTTAAGGAATCCCTTATTTGAGGTTTTACAAATGTAAAAGTTAAACCCATTAGTTATCCATTTTCTAAGTGGATAATATAATTTTTATCCATATTTAACCCATTTTTTAAAAGTTCATCATCCAACCCATTTTTTAATAGTTTATATGGGTGGATAACTATTTTCTTTTAATCATTTTGCCGCCTTTGAACATTTACGGAAACAAATGCAATGTCTGAAAATACAAATGTGGACAATCAGCTTGTCGTTATGCTTACTGGAAGTTAACTTGATGGCACAACCCAGTGGCGAAGTCAGGAATTTCATCTTGGGTGTTTAAACTTGAAAGAAGTAAAAAAAATCTCCGCTAAAGGGTATTTAATATATGTTATATACAACTAAAATTTAATATTTTACCTATGTATAACGTGTAATTTTTCGATGGAGGGTGGTCGGCGTAGCTTCGCCCCTGGCACAACCATAGGTTAATAGTTTTGAAAGTATAGGATTTAATGTGTGCTGATGATCTATTGGAAATAGCCTTTCTATCTGCTCAGGATAGGGATAAGGTCTGCATATACACTATCCCCTAGGCATCACTTGTGGAATTACACAGGGTTTATTATTATTGTTGTTATTAGGATTTAATGTGCAATACAACCTCGTTAATAAATGTCTAACCACATTAGTGGCGGAGCCACATGTATTCTGATGGTGTCAATTGACGCCTCTTCGTCGAAAAGTATCTCTATGTAGGTAGCTAATATATATATATATATATATATATATATATATATATATATATATATATATACACACACACTATGCAATAAGTATTAGTGCATTAGCTAATAAAAGCTAAGTATTTATGCACTTAACTTTTGAATAATAATGTATTAACGCACTAAGCTTTTATCGAATATATATAAAAGCTATATTNTATATATATATATATATATAAATATATATATATATATATATATATATATATATATATATATATATATATATATTACATCCCTTGACTCATTCGTGAGTTTACTTTTTAATATTTTGATATCTACAACAATAACAACAACAACATACCCCGTATTATCCCACACTGTAGGGTCTGGGGAGGGTAGTGTGTACACAGACCTTATCCCTACCTTGGAGGATAGAGAGACTGTTTCCAATATATAGACCCTTGACTCATGAAAGCATAAACACCACATTAATGAAAATATAGACAAGCAGGGACATCACCAAAGAGCCATATAAAAGTAGAATAAAAACAACAAGATAGTAAGATGATCAACAAATGAAAGAAAACAACGGTTAGTCATAAAACCTACTACCAAGAGAAAGCTACTGTTATGAACACTCTAGACTACCTACTTTACTATCCTAATCCTCGACCTCAATACCTTCGTATCAAGGGTCATTGTCAGCTGAAGCTGCCATGTCTTGCCTAATCACCTCTCCTCACCTCTTCTTTGGCCTACCTCTACCTCTTCGTAGGCCCTCCAATGTCAATATCTCACACTTCCTCATCGGGGCGTATGTGATCCTCCTCCTCATGTGACCAAACCACCTAAGCTGCGCTTCCCGCATCTTGTCCTCAATAGGGGCCACACCGACCTTGTCGCGAATAACCTCATTTCTAATCCTATCTAACCTGGTGTGCCCGCACATCCATCTCAACATCCTCATCTCTGCTACCTTCCTATTTTGGACATGAGCGATCGTGACTGGCCAACACTCAGCCCTATACAACATTGTCGGTCTGACCACCACTCTGTAGAACTTACCTTTAAGTTTCGGTGATACCTTCTTGTCACACAAAACACCGGAAACGAGTCTCTATTTCATCCATACCGCCCCAATACCATGTGTGATATCTTCATCAATCTCCCCATCCCCCTGAATAATAGACCCAAGGTACTTAAAACTTCCTCTCCTAGGGATGACCTGCGAGTCTAGCCTCACCTCCCCTTCCCTCCTTGAGTCTCACTACTGAACGTACACTCCAAGTATTCTGTCTTGGTCCTGCTCAACTTGAAACCTTTAGACTCCAGGGTCTGCCTCCATACCTCTAACTGCGCGTTCATACCGCCTCGTGTTTCGTCAATAGATACAATATCATCTGCAAATAGCATGCACCACGGCACCTCCCCTTGGATGTGGCGCGTCAGTACATCCATCGCCAGGGCAAACAAAAATGGGATGAGTGCCAACCCCTGATGCAACCCCATCATAACCAGAAAATGGTTGAGTCTCCACCCACCGTTCTCACTCGGGTCTTTGCTCCATCATACATGTCCTTAATTACCCTAACGTAGGTAACAAGTACACCTCTAGCCTCCAAATATCTCCACAAAACCTCCCTCGGAACTTTATCGTACGCCTTTTCTAAGTCGACGAACACCATATGCAAGTCCTTCTTCCTCTCCCTATAATGCTCCATCAATCTCCTAACAAGGTGGATAACTTCTATAGTCGAATGCCCCGGTATAAACCCGAACTGGTTCTCGGTAATAGACAGACTCCTCCTTACCCTTAGCTCTACCACTCTCTCCCAGACTTTCATAGTATGGCTAAACAGCTTGATACCCTGATAGTCACTGTAATTATGGATGTCACCCTTGTTCTTATATACAGGAACCATCGTGCTCCACCTCCACTCTTCGGGCATCTTCTTTGTTCTAAGAATTACATTAAATAACCTAGTGAGCCACTCCAAGTCTGCCTTGCCCGCACTCTTTCAAAACTCCACCGAGATTTCATCCGGCCTGGTCATTTTGTCCCTGCTCATCTTACGCATAGCCCCCTCCACTTCATGAACTCCAATCCGCCTACAATACCCAAAGTCACAACGACCCCTAGAGAGTTCCATATCACCCAATACAATGCTCCTGTCCCCCTCCTCGTTCAAGAGACTATGGAAATAGGTCTGCCATCTCCGACTGATAAGCACCTCATCCAACAAAACTCTACCTTCTTCGTCCTTGATGCACCTAACTTGGTCCAAGTCACGAGTCTTCTTTTCTCGCGCCTTGGCTAACCTGAACAACCTCTTATCCCACCTCGGCCCTCAAGTTCCTCATACAAACGACTAAAAGCTGCAGTCTTGGCTACCGTAACAGCTAGCTTTGCCTCTTTCTTAGCCAACTTATATTGCTCCCTATTCGCCATCTTCTCCTCCTTGTATATACTTTCCACTAGCTTCAGATACACTGCTTTCTTGGTTTTCACTTTTCCCTGCACCTCTCCATTCCACCACAGTCTCCCTTGTGACCACCAGAGTAACCTTTTGAGACCCCTAATACCTCTCTCGCGGCTTCCCTATTGCACTACACAGTCGTGGTCCACATAGCGCTTGCGTCCCCACTACTCCTCCAAGCCCCCATAGTCAGCAGTTTGACCCCCAACTCCTGCGCTTTAGCTTCTGTGGAGGCTCCCCACTTAATCCTATTTTGGTTATACATCGCCCTCTTCCTCCTCTTTCTCGTGATCTCAAGATCCATGACCAGGAGCCTACGAAGGGTCGAGAGGTTCTCACTCGGGATGACCTTGCAATCCGTACAAAGACCTCTACCGGACTTCCTGTAGAGTAAATAATCAATCTGAGTCTCGGCCACCGAACTCCGGAAGGTGACCAAGTGATCTCTCTTCTTCGGGAAACTCGAGTTTTCTATCACCAAATCAAATGCTCTAGCAAAGTCCAACAGAGACGTTCCTCCTCCGTTTAATCTCCAAAGCCAAAGCCACCATGCACATCATCATACCCCAGACGTTGCTCCAATGTTGCCGTTGAAATCTCCTCCTATGAAAATCTTCTCGGTATGCGGGATACCACACACCATCTCATCCAAATCTTCCCAGAAACGCCTCTTGACTTCCTCATCCAAGCATACTTGGGGTGCATACGCACTGATTATATTTGACATCTTATTGTGAAAATTCTGGTATGCTACTAAACCTAGTCATACAGTATTTTTACCAATAGAATGTATTTCCTATCTTGTATCATGACATTGTTACCTCACCAACATTCTTTGAAATTAATTTTGTGCATAGATACTATTTGGTTGCTTCGAAAGTGAAAAAGATAAGCTAGAACTCTATTGGGAGCCATCGAAACTTGCTAAGTCTGAGTTCGAAAATTTGAATTTTCAAAATTGAAATTTATTTAAGTGTGTGTTGTTGGAATAGATTAGAGACTTCTTATGGAGTTTGAACCCCAAATTTTGGGACGATTTGGGAAGATTTGAGGTGGTTTAATTGAAATTACGACGTAAAAGATGAACATGGAAGAAGATGAGATGTGTGTCCCCCGTGTAAACCTTGTGTATCCCATATCCATTAATTTTGTATACCTTGTGCATTCCTATATATACATGTGTACATGTATGCTATATATACATGTGTACATGTATGCTATATCACACACAAAAATTTCAATTCGATTTTTAATATGAATTTGACTCCAAACCCATCCAAATCACCTTCATTCTTCCTCTAATTTTATAGTCTTATCTATGTGTTTCCAGCGAATCCAACCATACCTATTGAGAATTACTTAATCTACTGGTATAACGATTTGGCCGCACCAACACAAAGTGAGTGAAAATTTGCAAGAGATAGCTTTAAGTTGCACCCAACTGTAAGATACAATGTAGAATTTCTAGTGGGAGATATAAGTACAATCCACTTATTTCTAAAGAATAACACTCGCATTTTAAACAAATAAGCTTTCCGAAAAGAGACACCACCTACTCCTATCACCAAAATTGAAAATTGAGTCGGACCCATATAATTTTTTTTAAAGTAGGGAGTCAGCAACCGTTACCCTTTGGATGCACTCTGGGTAAATATCTCATCAGTACAACAAATTGCAAACAACATTAAAGAGATAAATCGTGCTAGCGCGACGAGCTCGACCAAGAAAGCATGCAGGAGGTTTCGAACCCGCGACCTCCCATTTGGATGATCTCTTCCCCAATGAACTCGGCCACCCTTGCGGGTCGGACCCATATTTTACTGTGTAATCATTATTAGATTTGCATTGACCGATCATGTAATTATTTACTTACTTTTATTAGCACATGTATTCAAATTGGTTAAAAATGAAGTACTGACCAAATATGTTTTTATAGATTGTTTACCCTCAAAAACGGATAAAAATTACATTTATACGTAGTTTTAAGGATACGTGATGTAATTTGACACAAATTGAGAAAATAGATTAATATTGAAATCAATAACAGAAAAGTGATTGCAAACCACACAAGTTGAACAGTGTTAGCCTTGAAGTTTTGTCACCCTCGAGTCAGAAAGTGCGTCAATCAATGTCAGAACAGAATAGCATGATAATAAGAACTAGAAATAATAGTGTATTGCTTTTGGATGTGTGTTACAAATAATCAGACCCCCTTTACATAGTAGGGGAGTCCTACTTTAGATACAATTTTACAAAAAGGTAAGAAATCTCATAATTTGCTAATTAGTCGGTCTCTCGTTGATACATACCGAGATTCTCGCCATGATATCTGACCGGTTAAGGATATTTCGGCATTCCGTTATTCGGTTTGATAGTATTTCCTTGAGCTTGATCAGAGTCGAGGTCGGTTTCGGAGCTACGGCCTCGATGATCTTGAAGACGCATGCTCTAACTTTGTACCTTGATTTGATATAATCTGGGGTCGATCTTTAACCCATCATGTTTCAGCCCCGATCTATCATGCAATAGATGAGCCTGATTTTGACCGTATACAGATAGTTCCCTCATTTTTCAGAGAGTAAACGATGAGAAACGATATGAGCCCCCGATCTTCGTCTCGAATCATCGCGCCAGAAACGACAAAAATTACAAAATGTCTCGTCAGTCACGTCTTTAATGGCATTTGATGTTCGTCAGTTGCTGATCAATTACGGGTTTTGAACCATCGTTTGCAAACTATAAATACTCAAACTTTCATTCATTCAACTTTACGTTTAAACCTCTTATACTCTTGTTCTTAAAAAACCTTTGCATGCTCTAACACTTGTACCAGATTTCTTGAGGCTTTTGCAAGAATTTTTGCTTACCTTCATTCCAAAACATTAAGCGTGGCCTATTAACTTCCTCTTCTTCATCTCTATTCAAAAGCAAAATGGCAAAAACTTCTAAGATAGTTCCCCAAAAAGAGACTGCCTCTTCATCATGACCTGCCGGTGAGGGACCAGTGGCGAAACCTCACCTTGAAGAGTTTGTTCCTGGCGGGTACTCGACCGGTGCTGATTTCAAGGTCAAAAAAACTCCTTCGGTACCGGATCGATGCAAGTCGATCTCGCGATATATATGCTCGATCACCGATGATCTCCTCTCCAAGGTCAAAGAGGATTGCAACTGGGCTGATAAACATGTGGTGATGCCTTTGCCTGAGGAAGCAATTACTACCCACGTGGAGGGTGTTTTAAGTGCTTACACTTATCCCTTCACGTCGGGTCCCTTAGACCCGGTCATCATTGCCTTCTGCAAGAGGTACGAGGTGACCCTCAGTTAAATTCATCCTCTGTCTGGAGGATAGTAATTCTCTTCTTCTTTTTTGTAAATAAAATCTAAGGGTGTCCCTTCACCCTCAATCATCTCATGCGCCTGTACAGTCCCCGAATCTATCGAGGGGGATTAAGAAAACTTTTTCGCCAGGCCAGTAAGGCCCCATTCTCGAGTATAGAAGAGGATCGGGAACGAGGCTAGATGGGCCGATTTATTCGAGTAAAGACCTCATATTTAATCTCGGCCGAGGACATGCCATTTCCCGAGAAATAGAACATGAAATGTAAGTATAACTTTGCCTTAAAGATTTTGCTTATTGTTTTTCCTTTTTCCTCCCTTATTATCGATGTTTTGTGGTGCAACCGTTTCTCGAATGCCGAATGCAGTTCCTCGACTCAAGGAGTGGGTCGAGGACCACGTGTCTCAGAAACCCTATTCCAAGCGCGCGTGGCGCGAACTGTCGAAGGGCCGGCGGGAGGCCCATTCCCATGGTAAGTATTCTCTTTCGGTTTAATAATATTTGAATTTTTCCTTGTGCCATTGAGTTCTCATTAGTTCCATTTTCTTTTGCAGGTTTCCCAAAGGATGTTGCTATGAGGACTCTATCCGGTGACGAAGATGTGCTTTTCGAGTCGCCTGCTCCGAGGCAGGGTGATGAGAAGAAAAGGAAGAGGGATTCGAGTTCTTAGAGCTCGGAAAAGAAAAAACCAAAAATGAGGCTAGCACTCAAACCCAAGGAAAGCACCGACGCTCTACCCTCGGACTCAGTCCATTGGCTGAGGGGCGAGTTCGAAGAAGAAGAAGAGAATTCCAAGCTGGTGGCCTGCGTGCTGTAAGGTGTCGTGATATGAGGGGCCTCCGAACCGGCGGGTGCTGAAACTGAATCGTCTTGACTTGGGGAGGTCGATGAGAGAGAACTCCCGAACCAGAAGGGGCGAGGCCACTCTGCCTCGAGATAGGGAGGCCCATAATGAGATCGTAGCCGGTTCTTCCCAGAAAGTGGATAGGGATCCGAAGGGCATACCCGAAGTAATAGACCTCTCTGGTTCGCCATTATTTACTGAATCGATGATTGGCGATGCTCAGGCGCTGAAAGAACAATCTACCGAAAAGCCACAAGGGGCGGTAGACCCCTTTAACAACTTCTTTGACGGTGTAGACTCTACCGCTATGGAGGACGTCACGTCACCAGGTTGGGTGATATACCGGTGACGAAGAAGAGTCCATCGAGTGGACCTGCCTTGATCCCGAAATTAGACAACTGGTTCCCAGCCCCGAGTTTGAATCCTGACCGGAAGCGGTAAATTGTTATGTCCATTCCGAAAGATGACCGGGTTCTTTCTGCCCCCATGGGGTGGGCAGTTATCTTTGGTGCTTGGTGACCGGAGGATCAAGCCAAGACGAACGAGGTGGAAGTGTGTTGTTTGTTCAATGAAGCCCAAAGGAATTAAATCGGGTAACCTCAGATACCTCATAATAATTTCTAGTGTGCACTTAGATTATTTTATATGTGATTGTAACTCCTCTCCTTGTGTTTGTAGGCTTTGGTACTCCACCATGAAACGTTCCTCCGATACCGGGAAGAGCTGAACCAGTACGAGGCCGAGATCCGAGGGCTTACTGAGAAAAGAGACGCTTACAAACTTCTCAGTGAGCAAAGAGAAGGGGAGTCTAAGGGCCTCCGGGCTGAGTTAGATGTGCCTAGGAAAGAGCATGCCGACCCGGCTGAGCAGGTAAGAAGAATTTTTGAAGTTAGTGACGACGAATCGGACATGGTGACTAATGGTCTGAACCCGCAGGTCCAACAGAAGATCGACAAGATCGGGCTGGTCCGGGAAGAGGTAGATGCGGTAAAGGCTGAGACCGAAGAATGGAAAAAGAACATGGACCGCATAGCCTCAGAAAAGGAGACCGCCCGGGACCAACTGGCTTCGGCTGAAGTCCAGCTCTGAGGTGTCCTTGGCGCAGGCCAAGAAGATCAGGGAGCTCCAGTCCCAGCTGAATTTCGCTATCTTTGATTGAGAAAGTCTGTCCACGGATCTTGAAGCGGCCAAGTTAGAGGCAAAAGTAGTTAATTCCAATGCCAATGAATTGGTGGTCGTTTATAAGGCCAATGCTGAGGAGGCTTCGGTTCAAGCAAAAGACATCACCGAGCATGCTAAATGGCAATCTCGAAGGGAGGCCCTTGAGGAAATCCATGCTCGGGGTTTCGACCTATCAGCTGAGATCGAGAACGCCAAGGAGCTCGAATTTGAGGCTAAAAGGTTAGCTTATCCCAAGGATGAAAATGACTCTGAGGGTTTAAGCGCGTCCGAAGGTTGGGAAGATCCCGAGGGTGTAGATGCTTCCCCCGATAAGGACCAGGCCACTTAGGCCTTTAGATATTTTTGTTTTTTGTTTTTTGTATTT